AGAAACCTATTGTTAAAGGAGAACGTCGAATTTAAGATCAATGGCTTCCAGAGGATTGTGACATTTTTTTTTTTTTTATTTTTATTTTTATTTCTGCTTGAACAAACTGACATTGAATAGACGAGAAAGTGATCTTAAAATGAATCAATATTGAGTTGATTCACAATTCCTTTAAGATTATTATGAAATCGAGAGAAATATTTTTATTTCGAAAGATTCAACTGAAATTAAACGTTTCGATATTGTATCTTGTAGAAAAAAAAATTCAAACTAAAGGACACAACCAACTGTTCAATTCGTCAATCAATAAAAAAAAAATGGAAATTGAAAATTTAATAATTATTTGACAAATTAGGGGGAAAAAAAAAATTATTTCCACATTTCGTTGATTTTCTGCAGATTTTGAAATTTTCCGGGTGGAAAAAAATAATGTCATCATACTGTGTTGGTTTTATTGCAAAAAATAAATATTCATCAAAAATTGTGAAAAATTATTCTCAATTAAAAAAATATATTTAAAAAAATATTTTAATTAAAAAAATATATTAAAAAAATATTTTAATTACAAAAATATATTTAAAAAAAAAATTTTGTTAAAAATATATAATTATAAAAATGATGTGAAAAAAATATTTAAAAAATATTTTTTTATTCACAAAATTTTGGAAGCCATTGGAAAAAATTCGACAAAATTGTCCTCGATTTTTTTGTTTGTAAAAGCACCTTAATATTCTTATTTAATTATATTTATTAATTTTAATCGTACGTCTCGCTTTCTCATTGTATGTGTGTTTTTATGTTGTGTACAGCAATACACAGTGAAAAAAAAAAAAAAAAAAAATGCATCTCATTCGGAGAGATAGAGAAAAGAGAAAGACAGTTTTCATGCAAGAGAAAGAAGACAATTTTTAGATAATATTTATATATATATAGAAAACGAGAGTAGAATGATTTCTATTTTTTTTTTCTTATATAGAATTTTTACATAATAGAAAAAGAAGATTTAAGGTAACTGAAGCGTCTAATATAGTATATAATAATCAGAGGCGGACTGTTATCTAATTTTATTTTTATATTCACGTCTCACAAAATAAAATAATCGAATTTTATTCATTATTTTTATAAATAATTTTTTTTTTGCCTCTTTATATTGATTTTTATAAATAATTTTTTTTGTAAATAATTTTTTTGTAAATAATTTTTTTTGTAAATAATTTTTTTTGTAAATAATTTTTCCGCCTGAAAGAATAAACTAATTATAAATAATTAATTAATTTTCAATTAATTAGAAAATTTATAATAAATTTTAATTTACTGAATCAATATATATGTAAATTATATGGTTAATTAATGTAAATTAATTAATTAAATAATTAATTAAAATTAGTTAATTAAATAATTAATTTTAATTAATTAAATAATTAATTAAAATTAGTTAATTAAATAATTAATTAATTACATTTATTAACTACAATATTCATAAAAAATGGAATAATCTTAACTCTCCTGCATTATCACCTTTTATATATTCAATTCTCACAAGTTTTGAATCATTTTCCAATATTAGCAATTTAGAAAATTTATTCCCAAACTGGTTGTAAATAATTGTATTTAAAAGTTACAGTAAAATTTAAAGAAAAAATTTAATTTCAAAAATTGAAAAATCATTTTATTTTAAAAATATTTTTTCGTTAAAAAAATCATTTATAACGTTTAAAATAATCTTTTCTAATAATTTATATCCAAAAAATAAATTAGTTTCTCTCAATTTAAAAAAAAAAAAATTTCTCTTAATTTATTTAATTTTAATTTTTAATTTATATAAAAAAAATAAATAAATACAAATTCATAAATATTTTCACAAAAATCATTATTATTAAAAATTAATTTTAAAAAAAAATGTTTGGTTTATTGGGAATAAATTTTCCTTTGAAAAGAATAACTCTGCTTTTTGATTTAAAAAATAATGAAAATCGATATGAATTTTTTTGATCGTTAATTCTGCGAGGAGATTTAAAAAAAACTGGAGATTTTTTTTTTCCAGTCCACCTCCGGAAGCTGATCTGCAATACTAAATAGGCCATAAATTCGTGTGTGAAATGGAAGCGTTGTAAAAGTCAATATAAGGCTCTATTCGTTGAATGAATTTTCGAAGACATGTGTCGAAAGGAAGACAAGAGAGAAATTGGTACGAATGTAGTAGATCAAACGTTCTGTGAAAGAAAGATATACATCAATTTAAAAGGAGAAAAAAAAAAATTAACACACTCAATCGTGCACACACAAAGGTTTTCAAAATTCACTGACGATATTTAATATAAAGAAATTCATCATCAATTTCCAAATTTTTGTTAATAATTGCAAATTTTTTACAAATTTCTTTTAAAATTACAATTTAAAAAAAAAAATTTCTTTTTTTATTCCTATTTACAATTAATTGTTTCTCCTCGATTATTTAAAAAAAAAAAAGAATTGAAAATTCAAATTTCGAAAAAATTCTCTTGAATTTTTTTTATAATTATTTTTTTTATCCTATCAACATTCTCGAAATTAGTAATTATTAATTAATTATAATTAGCAAATTATTAATTAATTATAATTAGCAAATTATTAATTAATTATAATTAGCAAATTATAATTATTTATAATTAATAATTTTCAAAAAAAAATTCAAAATTTGCGATGAAGAATTTCTTATTAAAAATCCCCAGGGAAAATACACACGCAAATATTTCATATACCATTCCATTTTTTTTTTTTGTTTTTTTTTTTTTTTCTCATCTTGATATTAAGAAGCCTCGTCGAAATGTGAGATAGAAATTAAGAAGCACCTCGATTTTTCATCGAGGATTATAATTAAGTTTACACAAATCGCAACAGCTAGAAATCTTACATGTGTACATAATATGTATAGGTATGTGTAATATAGATTGTATGATACAGATATATAGATATAGAACTACGAAGGTACACGAATCGCTATAGGTACAGGTTTTGTTCAATATTTCATAATAATAACAACAATAATAATAATACTAATAATAGTAATGATAATAGTAGTGATAATAGTATAGTAATGATAATAGTGATAATAGTAATAATAGTAATAATAGTAATGATAAAAATAATAATTTTAATAAAAAACAAAAAAATTATTAAAAAATAAGTTTTGTGAAAAAATAATATTATACAATATTGATATTATAAAAAGGCGAATGACGACAGTAATTAGAATTAATGCAAAAATGATATGATCGGCGATATTCAAAAAAAAAAAGAAACGATAAAAATTTTTTTTTTTTCAATTTCACTTTCTAGTGCCAAGTTATTTTCTGATTGTACAAACGAGACTTGATTTAAATCTTATTCAAAATTAATCACGCTCGACAATTAGACATTCGCTGTGCACCCATATTATTATTATTATTTATTAGCCAATTACTCCACGAACTTTAAATGACTTTCCCTTTGAACTTGAAAGATAATTTTTTTTTTCTATAGATTTCTATACGTTCTACCATTTTTTTCTATAGGTTTCAATTTTCTATTGATTCCATAGTTTTCTACAGGTTCTATAAATTTTCTATATAAGTTCCATATAGTTTTCTAAAGGTTCCATAATTTTCTAAATAGTTTCTAGTTTTTTTTTTTTTTTTTTTTTTTTTTGATAAGATTTTTTTTTTTTTCATCATTCCCCTTAGAAAGTCCCTTAAGTTCAATGCGGAAATTTATTTTTTATAAAGATTAGTTTATAATAAATATGTGGATCGCCGCAGGATCCAGTTTTCTATTTTCTTTTTTTTCTCTCTCTTTTTTTTCTGTAATTGATCCCACAGAATAATTGTTTTTACATCTAGGCACAATTCCTAATGATTGTTTTGGGCGATCTTGTGCGTGATGAATTAATTCGGATAAACATGCCTTGCATTTTTTTTTTTAAATATTTTAATTTCACATAATAGTCCCGTTTGTAGAATATAAATAAAAATTTAATTTTAATTAAAAAAAAAAAAAATTGTAATAAAAATATTTTTTTTGAAACAAAAATTGAAAAAATAATTAAAAAATTTAAAAAAAAAACCGAAAAATATATGCAAGGCATGCGTATTTGAATTAGCGAAAAAAAATGAATTTCTCTAAAACTCATTTAGTCAGTCGATTAGAGATTGATAATCAGGTTTTTTTTTTTTTGTCTTTTCGCTGACTGTACGCTGTCTATCAATTTTTCTACTTCATAATAAAAAATCGCTAATTAATTTTTATTATTCAATTTAAAAATTCTTGAAAAAAATCAAAACTTTCATAATAATTAAAATAATATTAATTAAATAAATTATGAAAAAAAACAAAAAGGAAACATTCCTTGGTGCATAGAGTAGGGAAAGTGAGGTTTCAGGAAACGCAATCGGGAACTATAGAGAAAACCAAAAAAAAAGAGAAACAGGCATTTTTTTTTTGACAAACTTATTGTATATTTTGTTTCTTGCATTTTTTTTTCGACAATTAAAAAAACAAGGAAAAATCAAGAGATGGGGACCCATATGAAAATGCGTTGGAAACAATAATTCGAAAAAGTGCCAAAAAAAAAGATTTTTTTGTGAAATAAAGGACTTATGAATTAACGCCAATAGTATAGAATGACTAATATATAGTAAATAGTATTAGTAAATAGTAGAATAACAGTGGAAGAGAGGATATACAATATTCTAGTAAGTTTTTAATTTTAATAATAATAGGACAGAAACGGTAAAAAAAATTCAATATTCAAGTAGAATAAAAAATGAAAAAAATTATTGAAAAGGCAAGGCAATTAAAATTAAATTACAAAGATAAGAATACAACAATAAGTAACAACTAGTTTTGAATAATAGCGAACTTGGCCTTTTTTTTTTGAAATTCTCCAAGCAACACGCAAACTAATTCTATAAGTAAAGGCACTTAAAAAGTAAAAATAATAATTGACAAATATCGGCGATAGTAATAATAAAGAGTAAATAGAATACAGATGATAATAATAATAATAATATTAATAATATAATAATAATATAATAATATAATAATAATATTAATAATAATAATAATAGGAGGACGATAAAAAATTAAAATTAATATTGATAATTGTATAATAACAATAATAATTAGCGGACGTTATTAATAATTATCAATTTTAGCAGGCGATAGGTGACAGTCACAAAAAATACCGGCAAAGACGTTGAAAAAGAAATTCACAGTCAACAGATTTGGAAGAGGTAGCAAATCTTATCACATTCAAAAAAGCGCACATTTAAAAAAAAATCAAAGCAAATCCAGGCAAAAAAAAAAAAAAAAAATCATGCAATTTATAAATAAAAAATCACTCACGAAATTGAGTTTTCGTAAAATTAAAGATTTTTTTCCATTTTATGGAAATTTTTCCCAATAACATAATTTTTTTCTTTTACATATATATTTACGGAAACTCTTTTTTTTCCACATGAGTTTCCATTATTTTATCAAAAAAATGGAATTTATTTTTTTAAATCTTAAAATATTTATGGAAAATTAATTCTCTATCACGAAAATTGAATTTCCATTTTGAAGAAGATTATTCTTCCAAATCTGTTTTGTGCGAGGGGAAAAAAAAGACGGCGAAGACGCATATATATATAAAAATTCAAAGTTCATTGTGTATTTCTCTACACAGAGGTGAAAAAAAATTTGAATGAATCATGCAAGTATAGTTTTTTTTTCTGTGTGTATCAGTGTTTTTGTGACGAACATTATAACAATCGGCTCTCATTATTTTGAAAAAAAAATTTATCCCATTTTGGTCCAGAGGAAATCACACGCACACATCATTCATTATTACATTCTCATTTTTATTTATTTTTCTTTACTATTTTTTTTTTTTTCATTATAATGAGAAACGTTGTACCAAAAAAAGGATATTTTCTTTTTTTTTCATGTGATCAAAGTGCGTACGCATTTTTTTTTTTTTTTTTCTCAATTCTCAAATGTCGACTAATCTCTAAACAACTAACTATAAGGAGCTTAACCGTTAAAATGCTCGCTCTGACAATTGTTTTCTCGTAAAAAATGATTTGTCTTGCCGGAGCTGAGCTGATTGTGACTTGCAACGCAATTCCTGGCCCAATATTGGTTCATGTTTTTTTTTTTATTTTTACTTCCTTATAACGATGGGCGAACCGAGAAAGTCTCTCCGATTTTGGAATCTCAATTTTTTTTTTGTTTCTGAAATTCAAAAACCGGATGTGACCAAAGTCGGTAGGAGATCAAGAAGGGCGACAGGAGAAGAAAAAAAATGCAAATAGCAAAAAATAAAGTTAATAAAGAGTTTGTGACAAAGTTCGCAAGAAAAGCCAATTTTTTTTTTGTCATTGTCGATAAAGAGTGATTGTCATTTTTGACTATACACATTGAATAGTAAGAGTTTGTATTTTTTTTTTCCAGTAAAAAGGAGTTTCTATATCTATCGCTTACTCTCTTTTTTTCTCGCTTATCGTTCTAAAACGTTTATCTGTTAATTCTTTATATCTAACATTATCTATATAAGAAAGGGGGTTTTTCTTTTTTTTAAAAAAAAAATTACTTAATACTATCTATGTCTCTTTATCCTTTTCTTAATATCGACACAGTAACACCGACGCGGAAGTAAGAGTGGAAAAATTAACTGATACTAATTAACAAAGCTATATATGAAGATGAAAAACGCCAGTTAGATTTATCGCTAAGCTAAGACTCTTTTCTCTCCATCTTCTCACTGTTTTTTTTTTTTTTTCGTCTCTTCTAAATTTTTTTTTCCGTTTTCTAGAAAATAGTTCACTCGTCGGGGAAAATTTTCCTTAAACTCTTCTATGGGGAAAAAATTTTTTTTTTCTAAATAGGGAAAATAGAAAAATAAAAATAAAAAAAAGATAAAATAAAATTTTCCCCGATGAGGAAAGTTATTGAAACGGAAAATAGAAAATTCGAAGTGTAGAGCCATTTGGAAGATCAGACAAGGAAAAAGAAGATCGAAATTATCCGGCACGCATTTTCTTTTTCTCACTTTTTCATTCTCTCACAGATATATACTTTTTTTTATTACGATCACACCTCTAAACTATTTCCTGATGGGAAACGACGAATTCCCAGAATCTAGTAAATTTAAATGCCTCTCACAATTAATAAGCACGCATTCCATTCATGATAATAAATTTCATAACCCGACGAATACTGCTCGCCATTAAAATTCTTTTTTTTTTTGAAAACTCACTCCTTGTTAAACCCTGTGTCTAATCGAATTACAATATTATACACAATTTTTTTTTTTTGTCTTTGTCAAGTAAAATGGTATCACGTGTGCAACTTTCGAGTGTATTTTTTTTTAATAGCTTTGTATAGGCGATGTGTGTTTCGAGTGTATTATAATAATTTGCCGATTTTATTACAGATTTTTTTTTTTTTGTTTCACGAACATCAAAAAGGTAAATTCGGAAAGTTACTGTTTGTGCTCTTGTCACGTCGCTCAGAGCACGTTTCTCTCGCTAGAGTCAATCACTGGTCCTAATTAACCATGTTTATTTCGCTTCTTCAAAAAAAATCCACCCTTCAATATCGTTCGAAATTTTTTAATTTCCATTTTTTTTTTTACAAGTTTACAACGAATAAAACTCGAAATGAAATTTAATCTATTAAATAAAAATAGATTTTCAATTTTTTTTGGAAATTTTCAAATTATTCTTTTCATATTGAAAATTAGAATTTCGGATAAAATTGAAGTGAGGCTCCTTTGAGTGAGGCGAAAGCAGACATTATTTTTTTTTGTGACTCGTTATTTTATCACGTAATCCTAGTCTTATTCATTATTAATAAAATATAGAACATTGGGATGCAGCCGTCGCGCAATTCAGACACACGTGTTTACAATGCGACATATCAAATATATAGTAGAATATAATTACATTCCATAATAGTGTGTGTATAATGATTTTATTTTATATTTCTTTTTTAATAAGTGTCATTTTTTTTTCTCATATAACTATAAATATTCATTTTTTTTTATATGCTCTGTAGGCTAAGCATTGTTTACTACGTGGCCAAATCCAGGCTACGAATTTCGAAAATTTTTCTTTTTGCCAAAAAATTTTAATTTTTTTTCTTTTTCTTCTGAAAATTCGTTAGCCTGAAATTATTTTGACACCTTGTAGCGAGTGCTGGCTATCCCAACAATCACATCGGCCCCCCTCAACACAGCTAATGCGATGATAATCCATCGAAATGTCGACAAAATGCTCCGAGATTATTTATTTTTTTTTTTGAATTTAAATAAACGTAAAAAAATTTATAAAAATTCTCTTCACTCGGAGTATTTTGATTACAATTTCAGCTCGCGACCACTGCCCCATCGATTATTTTTGTTTTTTTATTTTTTTTTTTATTTTCTTTCAGTGAAATGCAAACTGGTCACTCGAACACATCGTTTTTAATTAAATACTAATCGCAAAATCGAGAATCTACTTTAATTGATTTCTTATAACGTTTCCATTTAATTCGCTTAAAGAAGACTGGCACCTGTTCCCATATATTTGATAAAAAGCCTCGTCACACTAACGGACACGGCGACTGGCAAGAGAAACGGATCACACAATTTGTCAATTTTTTTTTTTTTTGATATGTTACCTAAATGATTTTAAAAAAATTTATTTTTTATCAAAATGCAATTCAAAAATATTGAAAATTAAATCGTTTACACAAACAATATTGAAATTACTTTTTTCTAAAATTTCCTTTTTCATCAAGCCAAATCACCTTTTTTGTTTACATAAAATTGAACGAAAATTCCACTGTGATCCCTGATATTATTTTTTTTTATCCCATTTCAAGTCTTTAAAAATTTTCAAGCAAAAAAACAAAGCTTAGGAATCTAAGCAAACTAAAGAACCTCTCGAATCATTTCCTATTAAAAAGAGTTTCTGTGTGTGTGTCGTTTTTTGATTCGAGAGAGCGATATTATTTTCATATCGTTTCAATTCTTTTTTATTTTATTTACAATAATATTTTTCAAAAATTTTATACATCGACAAAAAAAAAAAAGACGAGCTAACCAGTAATTGTATTTAAGACGATAGGGCTGTCATTTCGAGCACTAGGCAGTTACAAGTATAATACTCGAGACTTAAAGCTACAATTTAAACTGTATTAATCAAAGTCTAATCGAAATTCTAATAATTTACAAATAAAAAAAAATTAAATTAAAATGGAAAAGAGTAAAAACGCGTAGGAAAAGTTTAATAGTAAAAATTAAAGAAATAATTTGAAATGAAGAAAAATTTAATATAATTGCAATGAAGAACATTTTATGTAAGAAAAAGAAGTAAAAAATTACAAGAAAATAGAGAAAATAAAAATTAAAGGAAAAAGAAGAATAGAAAACAGTTTGTCGATATTATAAAACAATAACTAAAAAAATACTTTTTGTAAGAAAATTAATACTAAGTTTTCTGTTTTTCGTGTGTGTGAGTGTAAAAATGTCCGTGTGACTTTTCATTTTCCCTGCGCTCTCTTTCTCTCTTTTTTCTTTTTTTTTGTTAAGTGTAATTGTCGCTGCGTTAGCAATATCTCAGAGATTCGAAAGACACAGATCGTAGATGCAAAGACTGGCCCCCTTCGCTCATGCCGGCAACTCGCTACCTTTACTTCCAGCGCTTTTTTTTTCTTTTTTTGGTCGAGAAGCTGAAGACCATTTAAAAAAAAAAAATTTCTTTCACAAAAAAAAATTAGGAAAAAAAAATAGTATTTTGGTTTCAGCCTCGTCAATAATATTGGATTTTCGAGAGAGAAAAAAAAAACAAAAATCCAACGCTTAGAATTAGAGCTAGCCTACAACTTTTGGCACAAACAACATTTTGCCGGGCCGGCACTCGCTTTTATTTTATTTATTTATTTATTTTTTTTTTGTTTTCTTTTTCTTTTAGTTTGTTCACATCTTTCTTTTTCAACATTCGCTCAATTCAGTTTCAGTCACGCGTCTCTCCATTTTCACGACGCTCGCGCATTCTCTTTCTTCTTTTTATTATTATTATTATTTTTTTTTTTATTTCTACTATATATATATGTGTATCATTAAAATTTAATTGACTCCAACAGAACGTCATGTCGGTCAGACCAAAATGTTCACTCTTTTCTTTTAATATAGATCATTTCCGCGACAAGACGTTTGAATGTGATTAAAAGCTAAAACGCGATATTGAAAACTTTTTTTCTTTTTTTGGTTTTTTTTTTAATTGCAGAAAAACTGCATCAGTCCGGACTGCGGGGGGTTTCTTTTTTTTTTTTTATACGGAAATTGCTTATTTATACCTGCGGTTTTTGTCAAGAAATCTTGGTCAATTTTCACACCACGCTCTGTCGACCAACGCTTAAACCATCGTCAATTTTTTTTTTTTTTTACAAAGTCTTCGCGACAATTTTTTTTTTTAATAACATTGAAATACAATAGATCCCTAGGTACCATTTTATCGTTTTGTCGACACTCCTACAGGGATTCCTCGCTGTGTCGATGGGAATTTTTGGAAATTTTTTTACACAATTTTTTTTTTTTTAAATTTTTATTTATTTTTTTTTTTGCAAAACCAATTTTTGAACAATTAAATCACATTTTGAAATTTTTCAAAATTTTTTGAATTTTTATAAAAAAAAAAAATTTTTTTCATTACCAGTACGACACAAACGAAAATTCCCGACAACAAAGTAATGCGCGTTCGCACGTAGAAACTCGTAATAGCGATATGTTCAAAACGTTCAATCCTCCTTCCTTCTTCTATAATCTAACTTATCAATAGTTAGCTCTACGCATTCCTAAATTTCTAATTTAATAAAAAAAAAGAAAAAAAAACTAAGGAAACGTGTCTAGTGTCCTTTGTATGTGCGTTGTCTGTGTTCGAGTTTTTTTTTTTTTTTTTTTTTTGCTCGTAGCGATGTGTGCGTGTCTGTAATACTTATCGTCAAAAACTGAAGGATAAAAATTATAAAAAAATAAACACCCTCGCGACTTAGACAGCTTCGGGAACAATCGAAACGGCGAGTCTTTTATTTACAAACGTAGAAAAAAAAAAATAAAAGAAAAATTAGAAAAGAAAACAAGATTCGGTATTCATACATTCAAAGTCTATTAACTCGCAGTCAATTCAAGTTTAGCCTCTCTCCCTCGAAAACGTCTTCAATCTTTTAAATTATTTTTTATCTTACTCTAATCCATTTTTTTTTCATACTGAAATAATTTCAATACTGAAGTATTTTTTAATACTGAAGCAATTTTTTTGTTATTCAAGTTGATTTGAAGTATTTTTTTTTTGGGAAATATTGAGGTATTTTTAATATTTTGAATTTTAATATTACCTTAATATTTTGAACTTCAATTTATACTTGAATTTTACTTTAAAATATTGAAGTTTTTTTTTTGTTTTCAAATAATTTTAAATTAAAAATAAATCTTTAATGTAATTTGAATTAAAATTCAATTATGTCAGAATTCTTCAGAACTATTATCAACTTCGTTTTGCTTCTGTAAATATAGTAAATGTAGTATATTTAATTTTAAATATAATTGTAAATATAATTGTAAATTAAATTGTAAATGTAATTGTAAATATAATGTAAATGCAAATAGTAAAACTAAATGTAAATGAAGAAATGAATGTTCGTTTTCGAGAGATCAGTTTCGATCGCCGTTGATACCGTCCAGGACGCTTAGTGACCAACTTGGAAATCACTTCGCTTCTCTACGAGCATATCGATCCTCTCGTGATGATTATTATTATTATTATTATTATTTTTTTTTTCATGGAGGCATCGTGAGAGGAACGATTTGTCGACGAAGTTGGAAGTAGCACCTCGCAAAGGGTCCCATGACATTGGCTTATTTTAACTCTTAAATGTTAATAATTACTTGTGTTTTCCTCGCCCGCCACGTTAAAGCGCCTTCAGACACAGCCTTTCTTACAAGGGGTATTATTATTTTTTTTTTTTTTTTTTCTTTTCAAAAGTCACGGAAAAAAAAGTCTGAAAAAAATTAAACACGAATCGATGACGAGAAACGTGGCGGAATTGGAAAATAATACAGCACTCTCGATTTTTTTTCTTTTTTTTTTCGTAAAAATCGAGAAACTATCTAAAAAAAAAAAAATCATCAGTTATCGACACACAATTTGTCGATTGGCTGTGTGTAATTTTTTTTTTATTTTCTCTCCTATCCTACGAGTAAAGTTTTTGCCTGTACTTCAACTAACTTGAAAAAATTCTTAAATCTTACATTATATATATATATATTTATATATCAATGTAGTTTGTTTTTGCCGATAACGGCGAGAGTAGTTTTTTTTTTTATTTCTCCCGTCGCGAACGGCCAGCGTGACGCTTGTAAAATATATTTATCTTAGGATTATTATATACGTTAACTCTGTACAAGTATTCAGGACTGTCAGCAGAGCTTTTTTTTCCTTCTCTTTTATTTTCTTATTAATTCTTCTTTTTTTTGTGAAAATATACGAAAATTATTCGTATTATGATGAAATGGACGAGAAGATACGGCTCTGTTGATGATAACGATTGAATTTTCCGGTTTTTTTAAATTGAAGCTCTGATGCGCAGGTCTGTCTTGTAAAACACTTTTTTTGAGTTTTCTCGTTCCTGTCTCCAATGGCAGGTTTTTTTTTTAAATTCCCAGCCCTAAACTTTTTTTTGACCCTAGGTTGATTAATTATGGGCTATTATTATTTTTTAAACAGTGGCTTAGTGAAACCGTCGGCTGACATTCGAGGAACGGTTCCAAAAAACGATATTGTAGGATGAAGTCTTTTATGGGTATATTTTTTTGTTTGTTTTTGTTTTCCGAGCACCAAGACTCACTGCGATGATGACGATTTGAAAAAATCATGTTAAATCAATCCGAGCAGCCAGTCTATCAGTCGTATACGGCACTAGGGTACCAATAGTGGTAAAGGGCATAGGGCTGGAACCACTGTGGCTCACAAGGCGGTCTCTCTTGTTAGATGTTGCTCTTTGAGAACGATACCCTTAAATGATTGGATTCGCTCAACTGGAAATTGTGCATTTTCTGGAAAAAAAATGTGAAAATTTGCTGAATTTAAATAGAAAAATTAAAAATAAAAAAATATACATAAAATTTCTTTTCACTTTAAAAATAATGAATAAAAAATGTGAAATAAAAAACAATTTTAATTAAATTTACAAAAACTTTCAAAATAAAATAATTTACTCTTTTTTAATGAAAAATTTTTATTTGAAAGGTGAATTTTTTTTTTCAAATTACAGCAAAGTCATGAAAATTTTGAAATGAAAATTGTTATCGTAAAATTATATTAGTTTAATGCATTTGTAATAAAATTCAAAATTGAGGCATTTAATACAAAATACCATCGTATAAACCGCAAAAGGTATACTCATTCTTCGCATATGTCACACATCACTAAAGCGTTAATTAAACAGAATTTATGAAACCCTTGTAATAAAATAACTCAATTGCTGTTTATAAAATATAAAAATAAAATTCATTTTTATTTTTTTATTATTAATTAGAATTTGTCGACTTACAATCAGAGCTGAAACGGCATCATCCATGCTTGCCATTTGAATAAGCGCCATTTTTCTGTCCTTGGGGAAAAATTTGAAAGCCTTCACAGTGAAACCATTTTTCGTGAATGATTCCTTTATTTGTTCTTCGGAAACAGTCGCTCTGAAATTTGTTTTTTTTCAAATTGTTGTATTATTATTGAAATAGTTAAATAAAATTCCACATGTAGAATTTCGAGGGAAAGAAAAACTTACGGAATGTTCGATAAATGCAACGTTGAGCTTGGTGGATAAATATTCTGATAATTCTTAGAGCCGGGTTTCTTGAATCGATGCAGAGGACTGTTTGTGTAATCCTTGGTGAGACCTGCATCAGGTTGTCCTTCTCGTGGCAATTGGACTGTCTGATGTTTGCTCAACATCACTCTAATCGGCTTACCAAACACCTTCAGCTTGTCCATGTGAGTGATCGCTGTAAATTACCAATGTCACTTTTATTATTAAAAAAATATTTCATTTTTGTTTTATAAATCAAATATTCAAATTATAATATTTATTTATTATTTAATTATTAATTTATATTAATTGAATCAATTTATTTATTTTTAAAAATGGCCATTGAAGAATTCGAAAAACTTCTTTTTGAAAATTTGAAAAAAAAATTAAAGATTTTACCTAAATGTGCTTGATGAGGCTCGGCCAATTGAATGAGGGCAGAATCCTTTTTGTTGTAGAGGATTTTCACACGCTGTACATCCCCGTAAACACCTAGAGTAAACAATAAATTTTCAAAATGAATTTCAAATCTTAAATTAAAAAATCGAAAGTCGACGATATATAAAATCTACATTGTATTTAAATATATATATATATTCTAATTCATGCATAAGAAACTCTGCTTTCGCTTTAATTTCTTAAATTACAAAAAATGTTCTCTTGAATTTCCTAAAACGAAATTTTTTTAATTTTCTATTTTTTAACAAATTTTCAATCAAAAAATTAAATGTATATTTCTCTTTAATATTCTTTTTCTGAAATTGAATATTTTTATTTTTACCATAAAATTTTATCTCCGAAAAGAAAATTTAAATTCTGCAAATCGAAGAGAAGAGTTTCTTTCTTTCTTTTTCTTTTTTTTTTTTTTGAGAAGTGAGTTCTCTATTCGGGTTGACATAATCCAAGCGAAAGCTCTTGTAATATAAAATTAAGGTGTTTGAGGAAAAAAAAAAAATCAACTGATTATTATATATTAATAAAATATTAATGAAAAATTTAGAAGAAATAAATGCTTGGAGATAGAGAACATGATAAATGTGAGGCGTATAAAAATGGTGATGACAACAATGACAATAGTTATAAAATGGCGATAAATATAGGTTTGTAGTAATAAAGTAAGTTTGAAATCACGAAATATAAAATAATTGGAAAAACGGATTAAACGAAAAAATTATAGAAATTTGAAGTGATACAATAAAAAAAAATAAATAAGCCTTTTTTTTAAAGAAAAATTAAAATCTTGCAGAAATTATAAAGAATAGTTTTTTTTTTTGATAAAGATGATCGTTTTTGAGAAATGTTTTTTTTTATGGGTCAAAAAATTTAATTTAAATAAATTTGATGTTAATTTAAAATTTTTGCAAATTATTTTCCCCTTGTTTTTTCAAATTTTTCCAAAAAAAAAAGAATTGTAGCAAAATTAATGATTTTTTATTATTTCGTGAGAACTTGCAACATTTGGAGTGTAAATATAATTAATAAATGTAATATAATTAATAATATAAATGTGGAGACGTACCAAACAGGGTAAAGAGAGCGTCAGGCGTGACCATCTACACAGAGAACAGACAGAGTCCAGTCAGTAGTCAGCGAGTATATAGGATTTAATGTATAGTATGGGCACGCACAAGGTTCACGTACTTTTTAAAAAAGAATAAATTTTTTTTTTCCAAAAAAGAACAGGAAAATTAATAGAAATTAAAATTTAAATTAATAAAATATTCCCCAATGAAAAAAAGAAGAGAATCGTTATTTATTAAAATTATATCTACCTTTGAATATTTAAGTCAATTTGATTGATTTTAATTTTTAATAAATTCAATATTTAATGTTTCTATTCGAAGAAAATTATTTCGAAAGATTAATAATTTTCATTCTATCATTGAGTAATTATTCCTTTTTTTTTTTTTTTTAAATTTGTATAAAAAATGAAAAAAAAGAGATAAATTCCACATAATTTTCTCTTTTTCGACTGTCGATGTTTATATATAAATATATTAGTGTAACGTGAAACTTGTGCGCGATAAAAACGATAGTAGTACACACAGTTATAGTACAGTAGTGACAAGTTGCAGCTGCGAGGTGTGACGTCGACACACATTTCGAGGCGCCCTCGACTTTATAAATGTCACTGTTATTTTAACTTTTGTGTCCTGACAATATCGTGACATTTATTCCAAGTCGATAATTGAAATTTTATATGGTACATTCACATTTTACATTCTTGTCTTTTAATAAATTATTTTTCAATTAAAATCACATATATCAAATTTCATTGAAATTATTTTTAATTTTATTAAGAAATAGAAATGTAAAATTATATTTTCAAAAAAAAACAAAAAAAGATTTTGTAATTAAAAATCAAAGGCGCCTCGACGAAAGTAATATCGTAACGATGTTACGATTTGAGGGCTAAAGGTATTGGTGACTTTATATAATAGAGTGATTCGTACAAGTCTGCTTATAGAAAAATGAAGATTAAGGGTCATGGGCATGACATGGGAAAACAACGCATCGTGTGTGTTACGTATTCTTATATCGTCGAACGAGATTATTTCCATTATCTAGATTATATTGAATTTTTCAATTATTAGCCCTTATGGAATTGTTATTTTTCGAGGGGAAATTATATTCGATTTGGAAAATGAAATTCATTTCTCGTTCGTCGAAATAAGAAATAAATATATATATTCGAAAAAGGGTCAAGAAACTGCAGGGTATGCCAACGTAGTACTACCTCATTATTTATTGATAGATCACGTAGGTACGTACCGAGATATTTAGATTCTTAGTCGCGAAATAAATTCACCGCGAGGCACGTTGGGAGAATTTTTTCCAAACTTGAATTACAACCAAAGTCAGTATACATAAACAATTTTATATTTCAAATTTTTTTTTTTTTAAATCCATTAGTGGATTCGAATAATTTTTTTCGAAAATTAATATTTGAAAAATATGTGCCTCGCGAGGAATTTCTCGACTAATTCTCAGTCTTGAGTTTTGATGAGTAAAAAAAATATCCTTGACTCGAGTCAAAAAGGCGTTTTTTGGTGAGTCAAAGAAAGTGAGATGTTAAAAGCAAACATTGGGAATGAAAACACTTACCTCTTCGTTGAGATTGCTGATAAGTAAAACTGATGATGGTTGAGGACTACCGGGTACTCGAACACCCAATGCACCGGCACTGAGGGCAAATCCTCCTAAACCAGCGAGACCTGCCGCGGGAGCAACTCCATTGTAGTGTCCTGTCAAGGGCGATGGAAGCCCGTGCATTGCGGCAAATGGTGATGCCAAGACGCTCGGCGCGCCTGCAATGGACTCTACTTCAGAAAATTTATGTGACGTTATTAATACAATTCGAAACACAGGATGAAATTTAAAAAAAGAAAATTAAAATTAATATAATTAAATGTAAAAATTAATTCTAATAAAAAATATTTCTTATAAAGATATGATTTTTGAAATTGTTTTTTTCACTATTTTTTAATATTCAATTTAAAAACATATTGTTTGATTAAAAATATAATCGAAACTATTTCTAAAACACTAACTAAAAACTACTAAATTTTCTAATTTAAAAACAAAAAATATATTTTAATTCCGTTTTTTTTTTTAATTGACCAACTTTCTAGTTTGAGTACCAGTAACAAATCCCTTGTTTTTTTTTTTTATTTTTTTTGATATACATTCAACAATTACAAATAAAATTTTCAAATAATTTGAATCTGTAATTTGAAACTATTGTTTTTCTCATTTTCTTTTTGAAACAAAGAGTTATTATTGTAGTGCCAAGTAAATATCCATAGAAATATAATACCCATTCAACAGTAGTAGCATTGAAACAATGGAAAAAAATTGCACTATTGTAGTCTCCGGTTATAAAGCATTTACGTTATATACTCGGGCGTTCTCTTGAAAATAACCCCCCCGTTAACTTTTCAACATTAATTTATATAAATATTTAAAAAAAATATATATACAGTATTGTTGAGATTTAAAAAGAAATTTTTATATAAAGTATAAAAAAAAAGAAAGGCTCGCCTTAATAAAAATGTTAATTAATTCTGTAGAAGTAGTGGAATAATTAATATTTTCAAAAAAAAAAAACAATTTTTGAGACGAATGAATAAACTAAAATTTTTTACAATTTTCATTTAATAGAATTTCAATTACCTCAAAATTTAATTTTAGTCGAATTTTTAGTTCCTTTCCTTCCTTTTTCCTTAATTAATTAATTAACAAAAATTTCTTTTAATTCTTTAAATAAAAGATTTTTCCATCTTAAAGAATTGTTATTTAATTTTTAATTTACAGACTTTTTATAATTTTTTTATCGAATTTGAATTATTTTACAGAAAGAAAGGAAAAGGTTTTTTTCTATCCGAATTTCCATTTTACAGAATTCTTATGTTTTTAAAACGACGAATTTTTTATTTTAGAAAATTTTCATTCGTCCGAATAAATTGGTAGAAAAATTTAGGAGCAAATTTCAAAATTAATCAATAAGAAAAAATCAAGGAAATTATGATTTATTTAAAAATTTGCGTCCAAATTAGATATTTATTCGTATAAATAAAAAATTCGGAAAAAATTTTGTAAAATGTAAATTCAAATAAATGAAAATTCGACTAAAATTAAATTTTAGACAATCAAAAAATTCTGTGAAAAGAAAATTCGGAAAAATTAATTTTTGGAGCTTATTTATTTTTTCCTCGATTTATATTGATTTTTCGAAATTTGAAAAAAATACATACCAGGCAATCTAGCACGTGGCTGTGTACCAGCTGCTCCAAGAAGTAATTGAGGTAAAAGTTCACCTCCAAGTCCAAGAGATGCAACATCTAAATTTGCGTCACCAGTAGGTAGAGTTGGATTCGTATAGTCTCGCGATTTATCGTTATTGTACTTGACATTCAAATTCTGCATTTTACTGTAGTCAATTCGCAATGTACAACAGGAATTGTAGATATTCTGACCGTCCAGAGACTGAAAAATAAAAAAACAGAAAAATATTATTAAAAATATTAATATTAAAATACAAATAAAAAAAAAATAATGCAAATTTGAAATTTTTCTCCATTTTCAATTTAATTAAAAATGGAAAAAAATTTCTAATCGGAAAATAGTTAAAATTTTGTTTGAGAATGAAAATTCCGCTTGAGTGGATAAAATTGAGAATTTTTTAAGAAAAAACAAAAATTTTTTTTTTTTTTGCTAATAAAAGAAAGTTTTTTTGTGGAAAATATTCGACACGGCGCTAATGAAACTTACAATCGGTTTACGAGCAACAACGAGAGGAAAACTAGAAACCACAGGTGCACGCAGCGACCAAATGCCAGTTCGCGCTATTTGGTTTTCATTAATAATCTAGTAACGGCCGCCACACAATGGCGGTGGTTTAACTCGATGGCAGAGTTTGTTTGACTTATATGCTCTGTTTCGTTTTGTTATGCGTAAGTAAATAGGTTCTCTCTCTCTCTCCCTCTAGATTCACTTCAAACCCAACGACTTGTTTGCATACACGAATGAATTTCATTTATTACTCTAAACACAATCACAAAAAAAAAAAAAAAAAAAAAACTACAAAAATCGAGTTTACATTTTTCAAAACTTTGGAAAAAAAATTCTCAGATTCATTTAATAAATAATTTTTTCAAATTCGAAATCAAATTTCGAATTACAAAACTTCGAAATTTTTTTTTTAAAAATACAAAAACACATTCTAAAACTCAATTTTCACAAAATGAAATTATTTCAAGGTTTTACGTACCTTTTAGGAACAATTTATTATTTCATTAACTTGCGTAATCGTTAGTTTTATGTGTTACTCTGCATCGACTGTCATAAAATATTTTATGAATATTTGTGTAAAATGTAATATTGTTTAATTATAATCATGGCTTTTAATATTTGCAATTATATTAACAACGAAATTTTATATATATACAAAAATTTTACAATATCCATAAATTATAAATAATCAAAAAAAAAATGATAAATAAAAATTTTAATGCAAAAAAAAAAAAATGGTAATTAAAAATATAATGGAAAATAAAAATTTGAAAATATATTATTCTAATGTTTGTTTAATAAAGTAATGAATTTTTAATGAAATGACAAACATTGTGTGTGTGAGGAAAATAACAAAAATTATGGATTATAATTCGCTTCGATAAAGATATGTATATATTAAATGCCCTGGATTTTTTTTTATGGTGAATGATTGATGAACAGCGGCAAAAAAGGCTTTTTCACAATATGTATACGTTCAGGGGATTTCAAAACAGATGCGCAAGATTTATTACTGTATTTAAAAAAAAAAAAAATTGTGAAAAGTGTGTTTTATGAATATTAGACAAAATTGTGTTGTTCTTTGAAAAATCCTCTTCATTAACTGTAGGGTCAGTCGGGGTAAATCCGAACGGGGGGTAAATCCGAACGCTAATTATTTCAGCTTAATTAAAATTTTTAAAAATAAGTTCGATATGAGAATTTTTACCTCAGATCCTCTTGAAGAGATTTTAAGTATTATCCCATTTTTTGTTTGTTAATTAGCAACAGCATAAACAAAGATAACAAGTATTGCAAAAAAGATTGAAAATCAAAGATGACACTCTTTCAGTATTTTGTCTCGTATTTGAAGAAAAAGAAGCTAAAAATTCATTTTATTATTTATAATTGTTTGTTATGAATACTAGAACAGAAACTATATTTGATTTTTGCCTTCTGTAAAATTTTATTAATAATATCAGACCGTTCGTATTTACCCAAGAAAATTGGAAAACTGGGGTAAATCCGAACGGTATTTTTAATAATTTTTTTTTACATCAAAGCCACACAAAATTGTTTTTATTTGATTACACTATTATTTTAACATTATAAAAGTACATAGAAAAAAGTTTTTCTTTCTATACGTATCCTCGTTAGTAATTAATAAGCAGAAACTTAATCTCTGTTCTCTCGAAGGAGTGTTTCAATTTTTTTGCCAAATGGTTTGTTGAAAAAAGTTTTTCAGGATCTTAATAAAATTTGGTATTCTACGGTTTTTGGGGTCGCTAATTACCAATTTGAAGTCAGTTTTTCAAAATTCAAAATGGCGGACGAGAATTAAAAAATTCATTGGATTCGCTCGAAAATTGTTACTCGGGGGGTTTCAGGGTTAGCAAATTTGATCATTTTTAAAAATAAGTTTTAGGAAAGTACGCCATTTTGAATTTAAAAAATTTGACTTTTATTTTTGTATTTACATTCAATCACTCCAAAATACTTTCTGTACCAAGTTTTGCAAAAATCCGTTATGATTTGATAAAGTTATTGAAGGTTTTATTTGTGTAATGCATTTTAATTTTTAACCTGTTTGATTTATGTATTTATATATGAATCATTATTACATAATAGGTTTATTATCGTATTTTTTTTGAGTTTTTATATAAGTTTAACAATTGCAATACTTTAAATTTATTTTCCCTAAGATTTTTCTGAAATACAGTGGCGTTCGTATTTACCCCCATATTTTAGGAAAGTTGCAAAGTATCGAGGTAAATACGAACGCTAAGTTTCCTGCGATTGTAATTTATCAAAAATTTTTTCTACCCCATAAAATTGTTCTATGGAAGTAAAGTAACAACTTCATGCACCAGAATACCGGAAGTATTGTCTTTTAAAAGAAAAAACTTATGTTATTGTTGAAACTTACTAAAAGCGTTCGGATTTACCCAAGTTGACCCTACGTTAAAATTTTCTATTCGCAAAAAAATTGAGTTTTTGAAAAAATTTAATTATTTAATAAAAATTTTTCGATTTTTTTTTTACATTTGAAAAAAAATGTAAATAAAAGACATTTTTTTAGTATAAAATGTAGATCTTCTTCAGATCTTCTTCAATTCAATTATTTAACAAATTTTCAACTAAAATGATTCTTCATTAAATTAATTATTTTTAATAATTTTAATCAAAATACATCACAAATTCAATTATATCAAAATTATTTTTCAATTAAATTTTTATGAAATTTAACAATTGTTTATAATTTAAAAAAAAAAATATCACAATAAAATTGAATTATTTTTTAAAAATTTCAATTCAAAATAAACTAAAATTCAATTATTATCCGAAATTTTAATTCAAAATCAATTAAAAATCCAATAATTATCCAAAATTTTCAATTTAAAATTTAATTATTTACCAAGTTTTCAATTTAAAATGAAATAAAATTTAATTATTTTCCAAAATTTCTATTCAAATTTCAATTCTAAATCAACTAAAATTCAATTATTTTCAAAAATTTCAATCCAAAATTAACAAAAATTCAATTATTTTCCAAAATTTCAATTGAAAATCAATTATTTTCAAAATTTTCAATTCAAAATAAACTAAAATTCAATTATTTTCAAAATTTTCAATTCAAAGTCAATTAAAATTCAATTATTTTCAAAAATTTCAATTCACAATAAACTACAATTCAATTATTTTCCAAATTTCAACTGAAATTTAATTATTTTCAAAATTTTCAATCCTAAATCAACTAAAATTCAATTGTTTTAAAAATTTTCATTTTCAATTTAATTAGTTTCATAAATTTCAATTCAAAATCAACTAAAATTCAATTGTTTTCCAAGTATTCAATTCAAAATAAACTAAAATTCAATTATTTTCCAAGTATTTAATTCAAAATAAACTAAAATTCAATTATTTTCCAAGTATTCAATTCAAAATAAACTAAAATTCAATTATTTTGTTAAAATTGTGGTTTTAAAATTAACTAATATTCAATTATTTTCAAAATTTTAATTAAAATTCAATTATTTCCCAAAAATTTTCAATTTAAAATCAAATAAAATTTAATTATTCTCAAAAATTTGAATTTTCAATAATTTGAATTTAATAGCATCTAAAATTTAATTATTTCTAAAATTTTCCATCGAAATTTTTTTTTGACATTTAATAATTTCAATTATAACTCTAAGGAAATTCAATTATTTTTAACTATTTTAATAATATTCTTTGAAAATTCAACTATCTGAAACCATTTTTCAATTAAAAATGATTTTCAAATTATTGTAAATTTTGTCCGGATTTTCTAATAAATTTTTAGTGAAATCATCTAAAATTTTAATTACAAAACACTTAAAGTTTCAATTAATTTCAAAAATCTCAATTTTAAATCTTTGATAATTCAATTAAATTTAAAAAAAGTTTTCTAAAAATTGTTTGATAAATTATTTTTAGTTTTGTAAAATTTTAATAATTATTTGAAAATTAACAATATCTTTTGAAATTTAATTATTTCTAAAAATTTCAACTTTAACCCTTCGAAAAGGATTATTATTAAAAAAAAATTTTTTTTATTTAAAAATCTGTAAAATATTTTTGTTAAAATAAAAAACAAATCCAGTTTTTTTTTGGAATATAAATCGAGTAAAACGACTTTTTTTGTGTCTTTAAGTTGATTCGAGGCCTGTGTTTTTATAATTAATATTTAATTCGGTATTCGTTGGCCCCTGGTATCTTAAAAATTAATTTTTAAAAATAAATTTTTTTCAAATTACTATCTTATACGAAATTTTCTGGCGCATCTTTTTTCTCATCATAAATTTTTTGTACAATTTTTGAATCAATATACAACTTTCAAAAAAAATTTCTTCGGTAAACGTTGTGTACTTCAGCTTTGTGAATTGAATTTTCGAATTTGGAATTTTAAAGAAACTTATTCGGAAAGGAAACACAATTATATAACTTTGGCAAAAATGAGAAAAAGAATTGTCAAAATTTGACATGTCATAAGATTACTATTAAAAAAAAAACACGTGAAATCAGAAAAGGCTAACTTCAAGTTAGGACAGAAGGACAGACCATGCATTTTATTTTTAAATTTTATTTTTATTTTACCTATTATATAATTATAAATTATTGCAAGTGTTTATTTATTTTCGATATTTAGTTAAATACAAACTTTCAATTAAAATTTGACGCGCGTATAATTTATAATTAAAATTATCGATCCCTTTTTTTTATATTGAGAAAATTTTGCATTTAACACAATTCAAAGAGGTTTGAAAATTTTTTTTTTCATAACAGAGAAGTAAATAATAAAAAATAAATTTTTTTTTTTATTAACTAAGGGTTGAAGAGAAAGAGAGAGAGAGAGAGAGAGAGAGAGGGATAGTATTTTCTGCATGAATTTACGTCTTTCCCTTTGTAACGAAATTTGCCGTTTGGGAGATTACGTATTTTGTGAAATTTATCCGCTTACGGTGGTTGGCTGTGTTCGTCAGTTTTGCTTTTACATTTTCACCGCATCGTATGGGAATTGCAAAGGAAATGAGGCCGATAGTGTGTAGTTTGTATACGGCAGATTCAACAAAGGAATAACCCCCCCAGGCCCTTTTTCAAGGGGGGAAGGAGAGAGAAAGAGAGAGAGAAAGTCGCCCGTTGAAAGGCCTTTCTGATACAACCAACTCTCTACGTAATTGACTTTTTCTCCTCTGAATTTAGCCAAACGAAAAAAAAAGACGCAAAAAACAGGAATGTTAATCGATAGCCTTTTTTTTCTCATCCTCATTGACTAATTAAAAAAGAATTTTTTTTTTCTTTAATTTCGTTTAATAAAAAAATTAATAAAAATTATAGAATAAAATTTTTAAATTATAAAAATTTCAAATTTATAATTTAACATAAATTTAATAATAAAAAAAACCATTATAGAGTTGGAGAAAAAAAAATATATAGAAGAAAAATAAACAATTCTCTTTTTTTAAAAAAAAACTATTTTTCTTTGTTATTTAACTTACACGAAGAAGCGGAAAAATAATGGACTTTTTTTTTTTAAAGCAATTTATTCTTTAATTTAAACTTCAAACGGACAATTGTCTTTTGTATAAAAGTTTTCGCTTGATTTCTTCAAATTGTCAGAGGGACAATTGAAAGAAAATGTATTGCAATGGAAACAAAATGTAAATGTAGAACTAATAATAATAATGTGTTTTTAAATGTTAAATATGAAAATTAAAATTTTAAATTATTTTACGATTCAATTAAAGATTTAATTTTTTTTTTATTTAATTTAATTTTTAAATTTTGAAAAATTAATCCCAAAAAAAAGGAAAAATAAACACAAAATATAAAAATTAGATAAATCATTATCTGGAGGTGAAAAATTTTCAGGCAAACTGGAACTTTAACTAATACACAGTAAGGAGAGAGAAAAAAATAAATTTTTTTTTTTGTACGAAAAAGTGGAAAAGAGATACTTACGAATTTAGCAGCCTGTGCCGAAAGCATGTCCGGATATTGTATGAGCGCTTGGTACGAACCTGGAATAGAAGAGAAAAATTCTGATAAAAATTCTGTTATGTTTCATCATATTTCGTCCTTGATGGACCATAATTCTCTCCTTAAACACACACATCAATGTGAGTAATAAGCATTAGAGAATGCACCTGAGAATAACATTTTCTACTTTACCACTTCAACTTCTCATTTACAAGATTAGTTCTCTTTTCCTTTTTTTTTATCTTCTAAATCCATTTATTTTCCTTTCGGATTTTATCGCGAAAAATATGAACTCGAAAAATAAAAATAAAACTGTTATGTTTTACTCGGAATTTTAATTTGGTAATTAGTAATTTCTAATTTGTTAATTTGGTAATTTGGTAATTTAGAAATTTAGTAAATTAATAATTTAATAATTTCGTAATTTTCTAATTTTTAGATTTAGTAATTTAGTAATTTAATATTTTCGTAATTTTGTTATTTGGTAATTTAGAAATTTAGTAAATTAATAATTTAATAATTTCGTAATTTTCTAATTTTTAGATTTAGTAATTTAGTAATTTAATATTTTCGTAATTTTGTTATTTGGTAATTTAGAAATTTAGTAAATTAATAATTTAATAATTTCGTAATTTTCTAATTTTTAGATTTAGTAATTTAGTAATTTAATATTTTCGTAATTTTGTTATTTGGTAATTTAGAAATTTAGTAAATTAATAATTTAATAATTTCGTAATTTTGTTATTTTGTAATTTTGAAATTTAATTTTTTTTGTAACTTTGTTATTTGGTAATTTAGAAATTTAGTAATTTAGTAATTTAATATTTTCGTAATTTTGTTATTTGGTAATTTAGAAATTTAGTAAATTAATAATTTAATAATTTCGTAATTTTGTTATTTTGTAATTTTGAAATTTAATTTTTTTTGTAACTTTGTTATTTGGTAATTTAGAAATTTAGTAATTAAAATAATATAATAATTTCGTAATTTTGTTATTTGGTAATTTAGAAATTTAGTAAATTAATAGTTTAATAATTTCGTAATTTTCTAATTTTTAGATTGTGTAATTTAGTAATTTAATAATTTCGTAATTTTGTTATTTTGTAATTTTGAAATTTAATTTTTTTTGTTATTTTGTTATTTGGTAATTTAGAAATTTAGTAATTTAGTAATTTAATATTTTCGTAATTTTGTTATTTGGTAATTTTGAAATTTAATTTTTTTTGTTAATTTGGTAATTTAGAAATTTAGTAAATTAATAATTTAATAATTTCGTAATTTTCTAATTTTTAGATTTAGTAATTTAATATTTTCGTAATTTTGTAATTTTGAAATTTAATTTTTTTTTTTGTAATTTTGTAATTTTCTTTTCCGGTGAAATAATTTCTTTCTTTTTTTTTTATTGTCCAAAAAAATAGAGAATCCACAACGTTTAAAGGGCAGTTGCCTTGATTATGTCCAAAAGGTGGTTTGGGATGTCTCGCAGCAACGAACTCGAGGTCAAGTGGCTTTAGTCGCTTAGTGTGTTGACGACATCCCATTGTGCCTTGACACCTCGGGTCAGAATCTGCGAGACATTTGCGATTAAGCGGATTTCAGGCAAAGGACACAATTTTGATAGTCCTGACAACAACAGAACCTTCACGTCATGCCTTTAATTAAACGCCAATAAATTACCACCTAATTATAATAACATAAAAAATCGATTTTATATATAGATTCACAATTTTTTCTCTATTACACATTTGTATCAATTTTTTTTTTTTTTTATAAAAACAAAATATTAAATTTTTTATTACAATATAATTTAATTTCTAATTTTTAATTTGAAATTTTAATTTATTAATTTTCAATTTTTAATTAAAAACTAAAAATTTTAATTTTTTAATTTTTAATTGAAAATTGAAATTTAAAATTTATTAATTTAATTTACAATTATATTATAATATTGTAAATACAATTTTATATTACAATTGTAAATAGAGAATTGAAAAATCTGTTAATATTGAAATTACTGTAAATTTGATACTCACTGTTCTTCGTAAAGGTAACAATTTTCAGAACTTTGCCGAAGCGTGTGAATATCTGAAACAGAAAATTAATTTAACATTAGTAACGAGCGTATGGGACATATATTTTGATATATACAATATAACGGACAATATTGTGTGTATATATAGTAAATCTCGAAACAAATCAAACTGTTTCTATTGTGCTTTGATAAACAATGAGAGAATCACAAGTTGCATATATATACTAAAAATAAACGAAATTGCATTTATTTTGCAAAATAGTATATAGTCGATAATAAAATTGAATTATTTTATATTCAATTGTGTAAAAAAAAAATTTATTCAAAATTGAAAAAGGAGATTATTAGAATTCAGATTTTTTTTTGAAATTTAATAGCAGATTACAAATAATCAGATTATAAATAATGGAAATAAATACCTAATCAGATTATAAATAAAATAAATAAATTGAATCGAAAAAAAAAAATTTTCACTTTTATTTTTTTTTATTTCAACATATTTTAATATGAAATTCTTTTTTTCTAGCATTTATACACATTTTTTTCGTTCTATTCTCTTTTCAACGAGGGGGAATAAAATTTTTCTTCTATTTTTTTTTATTTTTGTTTTTTTTTTTTGGTGGCCAGAAGGTAAAACCCTTGGGAAATCAGGTCCCCTATATGCACAGGTAGAAGAGCGATCAGTTCAGAAATATGTATAAGTCGTCGCTTAACTCACCAAAAAACATACATGCAAACCAACAACACGCAAAGTGTACTTAATATTTTATACATTCAACTCACGTATTTTTTTTTCTTTTTTTTTTTCTACCCCCTATCGACAGTTCGAAAGAAAAAAAAAACTACACTGTTTTATAGATTATGTGTGTTCAAAATCGCCAATAATTTTTATATTCAGAAAACTTTTCCATTTCTCGATTATTTGCGAACTGAAAAAAATCCGATTCAGAATAATTTATCTTATCAAATAAATATTTATTTGAGTTAATTAAATTGTATTTGTTTTAAATAGAGAAATTATTGAAATAAAAATTATATTTGGAACCAACAAATATTTATTTGTTACAATTAAATATTTATTTTGCTCTGGTAAATATTTTTTTTCTGCAAGTAAATATTTATTTTCCTCTGGTAAATATTTATTTACTACAAGTAAATATTTATTTTGCAATAGTAAATATTTTTTTTCTGCAAGTAAATATTTATTTGGTTCAAGCAAATATTTATTTGCTACAAGTAAATATTTATTTTGCTCTGATAAATATTTATTTACTACAAGTAAATATTTATTTTGCAATAATAAATATTTTTTTCTGCAAGTAAATATTTATTTGGTTCGGGCAAATATATATTTGGTTCGGGTAAATATTTATTTTGCTCTGGTAAATATTTATTTACTACAAGTAAATATTTATTTTGCAATGGTAAATATTTATTTGGTTCGGGCAAATATTTATTTGGTTCGGGTAAATATTTATTTTGCTCTGGTAAATTTTTTTTTTCTGCAAGTAAATATTTATTTGGTTCGGGTAAATATTTATTTTGCTCTAGTAAATATTTTTTTTCTGCAAGTAAATATTTATTTTGTTCGGGTAAATATTTATTTTGCTCTGGTAAATATTTTTTTTCTGCAAATAAATATTTATTTGGTTCGGGTAAATATTTATTTGCTACAAGTAAATATTTATTTTGCTCTGGTAAATATTTTTTTTCTGCAAGTAAATATTTATTTGGTTCGGGTAAATATTTATTTTGCTCTGGTAAATATTTATTTACTACAAGTAAATATTTATTTTGCAATGGTAAATATTTTTTTTCTGCAAGTAAATATTTATTTGGTTCGGGCAAATATATATTTGGTTCGGGTAAATATTTATTTTGCTCTGGTAAATATTTATTTACTATAAGTAAATATTTATTTTGCTCTGGTAAATATTTTTTTTTGCAAGTAAATATTTATTTGGCTCGGGTAAATATTTATTTGCTACAAGTAAATATTTGTCTGACTCGTGTAAATATTTATTTGCTGCAAGTAAATATTTATTTGAAAATAGTAAAGTAAACCATTTTAATAATTTTTTTTTTTTCTAAACATTCTTGAGAAATAAAATTATTTTTCTTATTTTTTTTCTCAAAATTGTTTCATAATTATATTATATTATATTATATTAAAAGAAATAAAATTAGCAAAAAAAAGTTTTTAAATTTCTTTGTTTTCTCTATACAGAACAAGAACAGTAATTAAATGAAATTTCTAGGAAAAAAAAAAAGAAAAAAAAAATTGAAATACTTATTTTCTTTGTGAATGAAATACTTTTTCTATATAGCTGAGACAGAAGTAAAGGATATACTTTTCAAGATAAAATGTGATTACCCACTTCAGACATCTCAAGTTTTAGAACACAGAAATGTATTCAAGAAGTGGCTTTATTTTTCCTCAAGCTTCAGATTATATCCAATATATTCATGATAATAAAGAAATTACGAGAAGATAAAAACAAAACAAAAAAAAAAATTCTCATGATTTTATACACACATATATACATTGGGAGAAAAACAATGAGAAAATTATGTAATGCAAAATAAAAGCAAGTGTTTCAATTTTCTTCGACAATCTCTTGGAGAATTGGAGAACAATATTAGAGACAATGAAAATGAAAATAAAATAGAAAAAACAAAAATGTTTGTAAATTGAAAATTTTCATAATTTTTAAAATAAATTATTTTTTATTCTGCTATTGAGTTTAAATACATATATATATACATATATATATATATATATTGATTTTATGCAAATTAATATATATAATCTAAACAATTTAATAGAGCACACGAGACATGTTGAGTGAGAACTGTCCATCATTTGTCAGCCAATTGTTTCGTTTTCATTATGAGAATACCATTGGGATAGTAAATTATAATTAATTTCTCAAACTCCATACATATATATATATCGACTATTCATGAAATCATTATAAATTTTTTTTGCCCCGAACTAAAATTTATTTATTTAATTAAATTCCAATAATTTAATTTTTCTAATCAGCACAGAGAGAAAAATTCTTTTATAATATAGGAAAAATTAAAAAAAAAAAATTCAATTAATTAAAAATAATAATAGTATTATTATTATTATTATTAGTATAATAATTATAATAATATAAAAATAACAATAAATATAAATTTTGAGTGCAAATAATAACAATTTATAAATATATTAAAAAATAAAGAGAGAGAGTTTAAGATTTTTCCAAGGGAATATCATTGAAAAAAAAGTAAGAGGTGAGGATGGCAAAAATTGAGAAGAAAAAAAAACAGTGAAAATGAGAGAGAGAGAGAGAGACCTTTGGAAAGACCGAATAAAGAGAAGCATTAATCACACGTTTCTCCTGCTCTATGATTAATGGTTTCTTTGGCACCACGCGTGAAAAGCAAAGCGAAACGCCTAATGTTCCGGTTCGATCATTTCACAGTTGCTTCATGTTGTGGGTTTTTTTTACGCGCAGTCACAATATTTTGTTTATATTTATATCTATATATGTCATGAATGAATCAACTTTCCCTTGAATATTCAAAAATATTTTTTTTTCCTTTGTTTTTTTTTCAAAGCGGAATTATTATTTATTTATTTATTTATTATTTATTATTTATTATTTATTATTTATTATTTATTATTTATTATTTATTATTTATTACTATTTATTATTTTTACTATTTATTACTATTATTTATTTTAATTTTTTTATTTTATTTTCATTATTATTTTTATTATTATTAGTTATTATTACTATTTATTATTTTTTTGTTATTTATACGGAAAAAAATATTTACCTTAAACTGCGCGAAAGGTTTCATTAAAATAGCGAAATATTTTACTGAAACAAGTAAAAATTTTGCTATTATAGTGAAACGTTTGCCTGTTCCAGGTAAATTTTTTTCCCTGTATTAATATTATTTATTACACTGAAAAAAAAATTTATTTGATTCAAATACCGGTGTATTTGGTTATTATCAAATAAATATTTATTTGAATAAAATATATAATATTTGAATCAAATATTTCAGTATTTGAAGCAAATACCATTTATTTGATTCAAATAAGAAATATTTGATCCAAGTAAATATTTATTTGATAATAACCAAATACACCTGTATTTGAATCAAATAAATTTTTTTTTCAGTGTACATTTTATTATTTTTATTCTTTTGTATATTATTTCCATAGGGTGAAATTTAATTTTTAATAAACATTGGAATAGAATTTTTTTGTTTTTTCTTTGTTTTATTATTTTTTTAGAAATACATTTTTATTATTTTCAAATAAATAAAAAGAATGAGAATTAAAAATTTCAAATATGAAAATTTGGGAGGGGATAAAAGAAGAGATTATTCATTAAAATGGAACGTGGTCTGTTGGCCAGAAGCCCAACGAGTATTGGTCCCAAGTGTGTCTAGGAGGGGGGGGGGGACAAATTATAGGTATGCGTACCTGGGAGAAACGCGAGGTTATTGATTGATGTTGGTTATTAATACGCGTGTTCAATTATCATCGAATCCTTGACATAACCCAAGTTTCCCTTTACTCTTCTCTCTCTCACTCTTGTTGTAGAATAATGTTTCCTATATAATTCTCTCTCTCTCTCTCTCTCTATATATAACACTAATGTAATTTTCCACCTGCTGCCACGCGACAATGATTCGAATGATAAACTACTTATTTCTAAATAACAAAAATTTACCACACTACATTGTAAATTGGATTTTTTTTTGTAATTCTAAGTTTTAATTTTATTTTTTTAGTAAATAAATTAGTTCGAATAATAATAATAATAATAATAATAATAATAATAATAATAATAATAATAATAACAATAATAATAATTTATAGTAATTGTATAATAGTCACTAAATAGTAAACTGAAAAAAAAATTTATTTGATTCAAATACTCGATTACTTGAGTATTATCAAATAAATATTTATTTGAACCAAATAATTTTTATTTGAATTAAATAAATTGTATTTGAACCAAATAATTTTTATTTGAATTAAATA